CGTAGCAGGAGGCCTCATTTCAACCCAAACTCTACATCGCCGACGACTATTCCGCAGAAAAGATATTTTCAAGTTCAAGTTCCTGCTATAAACTGTACAGAGAGTTCAACTGAACGTTCCTCACTTTCTCCTCACCCGGACTCGAATGTATGCACAGTATCGCTAACCCAGACGTTCGGCGCCTGGCGTGTCCGCTCAGCCCAGATCAGAAAAACGAACGATAACATCAGTGTATCCATCTCTGGTTGCTGCCTGCTCTCTGGTTTTTCTTTGGGCTGGCCTTCTCGCAAAAGCGGCTCTGTGAGCTCCGCCGGCATCGACAAGCGCTGTATGCTTGTCACCTTGTGTCTTGGCCGTTTGCTGGCATGCCGAGGCGGGACGAAGACGACGGTGTTACTCCTTGGTGACCCGCTTGATTGGGTGTAATCCCTATGGACGTTGTTGACGCGATGCCTGGGAAGCTGTGTGGTGACGTGCACGCGCAACACAGCAATGCTCGGCACGCTGAGCACGAAACGCTGCCAATCACGGATTGAAGGGTCACAGGTTCTGTCAAGAGCAACCATTTGTCGAAATCTGTCTTCACAAAGCATATCCATGTCACAATTACCTCCTGTCAGGTGCACCACGGTACGTTGGAACATGTACAGTTTCCCGTGACGCACTCATTACCACTTGCTGTGCTGCCAATGCATACTGATGCAACTTTCACAACTACCGCAAGGATGCTAGAGAAGGAAGGCACCGGGTGCGATCGAAAATATAAATGAAGCGGTGTCGATACGCCAGCGCACCCGATCTTCCGAACGGTGCGATCTCCGAACCCGGTGAAGGCAACACATAAAACTGCTCGGTTTTGGGATACTCGGAAGCGTAACGCTCGCACCCTTGCTGTTGTCGTGTCGAAACACCACAACAGCAGCGCCGGTCCTAGGGACCCCTCTGTCCAATGATGTTCCCGATAGCGCAGCATCGACCTGCTGAGTACAGTTCTTCGAACCGCCGGTGGGCCCAACCATGTGCGGTCATTTTGTGCAACGACATTTATTTTGTGGAACGGAACACAGTACAGTATCATCATGCGGATGACCTGCCGCCCTAGGGTTCTTGTACATGTACCACGCTGAAAATTAGTCTAGTCTAGTCGACACACGCCCTCTGCAAGGACAAAGAAGACTGCATTGAGGTTTAGTGTTGAAAGCTTTGGACCGATGTACATCCACCATATCGGTGCGGCAATGCGTATGCATCTCGTGTATTTTCTCGGTTTCGGTTTTCTCAGGGACAGATCGGTTTTCGGAGGGAAGATGACGTGTGCCTAGACCACTTCAACCATTATCTATTTTCTTGAGCGGAGGAGGAAGGAAAGAAGAGGGCGCTCTACGTTATCCTCATACACGTACGTGCCCCGTCCTCTCGGGCATTTTGATCCTCCACCTCGTAGGTCCACGCCAGACTGATGGACAACGCAGCAGTGTTCGCCCCACCTCATGTTGCGTAAATGCAATGTGTCAAAGAAAAGCATGGCCGGGGGCAGTTTTTTTTTTTGGTCTTCACTTCAAATCAGCGCTCACGGCGCTACTGCCGTTTACTCCAACCCATGGTCACACAGATGAGCCCCTCTCCACCCTCCCCTCCCGCGGTACTTTGCCTTCGATTGTTAATGCGAAAAGAGTTCAGCACTCTCTTCCCTCTGTGTACACACGAACTGGCGCTATCCACTAGGCCAGGAGCGGAAGCGAGAGAGAAACTCACTTTGCAAGGAAAGCTCGCTTATATTTTTACAACGGCGGGGACCTGCACAGGCAACTGAAAAACATATGTGCTTTGAGGTCATTTGGTCGTGTGATAAGCATGCAACTTCGCTGTGAGATAGGGACCTCCGCGCCATCCTGGTTGTTGTTGGTGCTTCAGATGCTGTTGTTGTGCAGTCGGTGCTGCTGCTGCTGCTTTGCTGTGCGGCTGTGTCTTGCAACCTAGCGGTGCGTCTGCTGTGTATATCACATCGAGTAGGTATACGGCAAGCGAGCGTTGAGTTTAGCGGGGGAGCATTCGATTCGAGGCACCCCTGCTGCGACTGTACGAACGAGTCTGTGTGCCAGAGGCTGCTCTGCTGCTGTTGGCTGTGTTGGCTGTTGCTGCTGTTTGCTGTTCCCTTGCTTGATGCATTTTTTTTTTTTTTCTCCCATCATTGGACTCTGTCGATTGCCCCTTTGACCCCTATCCTCCACTTGTACCAGCTAGACGACCCAACCGGGGTCACAAAGGAGGGGGGGATTGCACCCCCTCCTGAGGTTCCTGCCTGAGGTATTTTTATCGCGAGAAGGGTACAGCAATCCCTTCCCTCGCGACGTATGTATGGAGTCGATCAAGTTGTCAACCAACGAGCTTTGCAGCGCGTCGCTTCCAACGGAGACCAGGAGTTTAATTGGCGAGAAAATCTCACTCTGTCGGGACTCGAACCCATGACCTGGTCCTTAGCAGGCTGCGAGGCCACCCACTAGACCACCGGGGCGACCGGTGCATCTGTATCTGCTTGGATGTATGCGCATGTGCACTGGTAAAGTTCTTTCCGGTTTTTCCAAGGTCTGTTCGGACTGGTGGCGTCCAAAAGCCCCTGGAGGATCCGCAATGGAGTCAGTCACATCATAGACTAGACTAAGGGATAAGAAATCGGGCCGACGTCGGCTGGTCCCTCTGCCCAAAATAAGATAATGACTCTTTTCTATGATAGAGATGGCACATCAGCCGCACATACTCGCACATATGCATACCAAACTGAGAATATGTTTGTAAACTGATGGAGATTGCATGTGTTAGAACTAATAGGGTGCGACACACAAAACGCCCGACTACCCAACAGTAC